AAGAGAGAGAGAGAGAGAGAGAAACACACAGGCACACACAAATGCATGTACACACAAATTTTTATTTCCCAGTAGATGATGAAGTAGATTAAACGCTATTAAATAATCGAAATCTTTGCATCCGTCAGCCCATAAGTGGGCTTGTATCAATGTTCGTGTATGAGTGTGTGTGTGTGTGTGTCCGTATGTATATGTGCATCTGTGTGTGTCTATGTATGTGTGACTGTGTGTGCGCGCGTTTGTGTTAGTTTATGTGTGTGTGTTTATATGTGTTTGTATTAATGTCGGTTTGTTTGTTTCTTGATGTATGTGTTTCTTTGCATTGGTATATTTTTACTAACATGTTTGTATATTCAATTGTAGGAATGTGCCGTTCATAAGCATTTCTCGTGTGTTTTATTTTAGTTGCTAATAAATTTTTAGTGCACACGCACACACGCACACAAACACACACTTTTATACGATATATTATAACTTTAGTAAAATTAATTATAACTAACACAATTAACAACAATGGCTAAAAAATTTCAGTTAATCCTTCGAGAGCAGATCCAACTTTGAAACGAGACAACATAAACATCATCAACATCATCAACACCAACAACAACCACAACAACAACATCAACTACAACAACAACAACAACCGCAATATCAACAAAACCATCAACATTGACAACAAATGGCTCTATCCCCATGCACATTCATCCAATAGCAACCGTCATTCACCACCATCATATTTAGCCTTATCATCTTTTCCATCATCGTCGTCGTCGTCGTCTGCATCATCATCAGTATCTTCATCCTCATCAGTATCTTTATCATCATCAGTATCTTCATCATCATCATCATCATTATCATCAACAGTATCATCATCAGTGTCATCTGAATGTCCGAGTAAATACTGGAGTCAGCCCTCGAAGAAGTGTTCGGATGGTTTATTGAAAATTCTGATAGAAATCCAGGCCAGTCATCATCTACTGTCCACTGAACATCGGTTTAACAATACTTGTTGGTATGTTGTTGTTGTTGTTGTGTTGTTGGTATGTTGTTGTTGGTATGTTGATTCGTTTCGTTTCGTTGCTTTGTTGTTGTTGCTGCTGTGCGGTTACTGAAATGTTGTTGTTGGGATGAAAGCATGTGGTTGATAGTGTGGTTGCTAACAATACTTGCTGGTATGTTGTTGTAGTTGGTATGTTGTTGTGATGTTGTTGCGTTGTTGTTGTAAGGATGTTGCTTGTTTGTTTGCTTGTTTGTTGTGGCTGTTGTATTGTTTAGTTTTGTTGTTATTAAACAATTTGCTTTCCATGGCGTTCCATTTTAATGTAAGTTTTTCTTGGTTGCAATGATATCAATTATAACAGCACATCAGCACAGCGTCCCATCACATCAAACCAACAGCAACAACAACATCACAATAACATCAAAGCTACTAACATCAACACCAACTGACTGTTAAATTAATGTTATTAATAATAATTATGATAATAAATGATTCTCTAATCGTTTAGTGACGTCATCAATCATACGTCATCTGCCAGGCCGCCATATTAATTAGCCATAAAAGGTCAAGGATTTTTTCGGAAATTTTTTTTGGGCTATCTTTTAATTTTATTATCTTTTTTTCAAAAGTGTTTTTGTTATCATTTTTACAACATTTCTATGAGATACTTTTTTTTACTTTATCACGGCGATAATAATTAATAGCAGTAGTAGTAGCAGCAGCAACAGCAGCAGCAGTAGTAGTAGTAGTAGTAGCAATCGCAGCGGCAGTAGTAGTAGTGGTGGTAGTAGTAGTAGTAGTAGTAGTAGTAGTAGTACCGGTGGTTGTGATGTTAGCATTGATGTGCACATGAGCGAGAAATTCAAAGGTTTGCTCGTGTCGTAAACATTTTATGGTCAACATGCGGTTTCCTCACATTATTACTCTCTTGTTATTGCTGTCACAGAATTGATGTAATTGCTGCTGTTGTTGTTGTAATGTTGTTGTTGTTGCTGCTGTTGTTGTTGTTTTTGTTGTTACAATATTGTTATTAGTTAGAACTGAAATTTTGTTTTTGTCACATTTGCCCTGCTTGTAGGTGATAATATAGTCCTGTTGTTGCTGCTGCTGCTATATTTTCTGCTGCTATTGCTGCCGCTGCCATAGCTACTACCACGCTACTACTTCTACAACAACACTTGCTGTGTTATTGATTAGATTCAATCGTACTTTCGTTCGCCATGTCTGTTGTTATTCTTCTTTTTTCCATCTTGTATTTATTTTATGTTTTAAGTAAAAAGGTTTTTTTTATTCTTGAATTAAAATTGATTTTGCAATCGTTGTTTTCAAGTTTTTTTTTCCAAAATGCTTTTTTTTTGCTGAACAGAAATGAGTGTAGATAGATTAATATTGCCGTGTGCTAATTTAAATTCATTGCTATTACTCTGCCTGATATCGTTGAAAAAAATGTATTCGTTTGTTTGTTTGTTTGTGTTTTTGCATCTTTTTACATTTGTCTGTTCACTTATTTATTCATACATTTATTTATTCATTTTTTCTATTATTTATTTGGTTTTTGTGGTGTATTAGTTAAGTTAAACGATTCAAACGAAGTTTTTGTAAACTGTTTGCATATTTTGTGTTGTTTTGTTTGTTTGTTTGTCGGTTTGTCTATTTGTTTGTGTTTATCTTTGTTTCAGACACGACAGTGCATTGTGTGTCAAGATAGATTGGTCGTCTTACGTTAACATCTGGATTGTCGTTTTTTCTATTTGTTTTTATGAAAGAAAAACTCAAAATACTAACTTAGTAACAAAAACATTTAATGTTTTTCACTTGGAAGAGATAAAATTTTGATGTTTTTGAAGTGGTAAAAAAGTTAAAAGTGTGAAACTAATCAAAAATAACGTCGAAAAAACAACACCACCAAACAAAAAACATCGTCTTCAACAACAATAACAACATTGAAAACATCAACAACAACAATAACATTAATAATAATAACAATAATAATAATAATAACGACAACAACAACAACAACAACGAAATCAAAAACAACAACAACAACATTGAAAACATCATCATCAACAACAACAACATTGAAAACATCATCATCAACAACAACAACAATGAAAACATTAACAATAACAACAACAACAACATTGAAAACATTAACAACAACAACAATATTGAAAACACCATCAACAACAACAACGACATCAACAACAACAACAACGAAAACTTCAACAGAACGATAATATCCTTAGCACCGTCATGGGATTCAGCCTAATAACATCATCACTATCAGTAGCAACAGCAGGAGTAATTGCACTGACAAAAAATGAAAACAAAATGACGTCACACGATAGTGATGTGATGACGTCATGGTGACGTGATGTTGATGCAACGATGTGATGACGTCACGCAATGGTGATGTGATGATGTGCTGACGTAAAACACTTTACGCTTGTTTGTCATGTGGCTCCGTACTTTTGACGCTGTGGCTAGACACGATCGAACGTTCATTTGAGTGGTTAATGTCGCGCGCGTTGACGACGACGACCATGAATGACGACGACGATGAAGATGATGACGTCATCGATTTTGCAGCTGATAATTACGATGATAACGATGATGGTTTTTTAATGTTTTTCACTGCTGTAAATGGTAAAACGGTGACGAGGCTCATAACAACCGGGCTACAAACACAATAAATAATAATAAATACATAGCATACAAAAATACAAAACATACAAACACAAAAAATACAAAACACAAACATACAAAATTATGAGTAAAACAATATTTCCAAAGAGGACTGTGCTCCCCTAGTTATGACTGC